ACAATTATTTATGGTGAAAATGATATTTTTGAATTTTTGTTGAAAACAGCAAGTCCCATTGCATTGATACTATTCATATTGTTCATTTTCTAATGATATCTTCTGTTCTATAATTGAAATGTGCATTGCAAACAGCGGAGCTATCTCAGCCGAGAGATTACTTGTTCAAATATGTGGTTAAAAACTTGCATGCAAAAAAAAAAAAAAAAAGACTTCAAAGCCATTGTATTTTTTTTCCTGTAGTACATGTACAATGTAACGACTTATACTATGCATGATGTGGGTTTTTCAGGATGCTGATACATATTTCCTGTATTATTTGAATAATTTTTAAATTCTAGATGAATATTTGTGCTTAATGTGTGTGCCACAGACTCAATGGAGTGGCCAAACCCACTGGCTGAGATTTATTCATAAATGGATGTCACTTTGGGAGAAGTCCCAGACATAAAATTTGGTTTCTTGTGACTCTCTGCTATATGTAGTATATTCACTGTAAATTACTTTATTTTTACTTTTTCATATTTTTAAAATTTTCATATACGTTGCTGGTTGACACTCATCTAATTAATAATTCAATTCATCAAAAATACTTTTGACACAACAAACACATTCCTTTCATTTTCATGAAACCTTTTAAACTTGCCGGTTTAAACTAGAAGGTTTCTATTGGCCGATTGAAAATTTTTAAGTGATGTCATTGCACTCTACATTACTTGATTTGCTCGTTGAATTCAACTATCAATGTCATTTATAAATATTTATAAAAATCAAAGAATTGGGTTTGTTGTGTCGATAGTAGTCGCATTCATTTTATAAACGCAATTAAGTTGCAATCAGAGTAGTAGTAATCACATGCAATTGAAAATACAAGATAGTCTCAAGAACACCTTGTATATTTCCTGTGAATTTCTGTATGGGTAATAGTACATACAGTGATGAGAACTGTGTTTTTCAATTATGAAATGATTTATTATTCAACAGAAAAATAATATAGCAACAATGACAAAAAGTCTTTGTTTGATCCATAAATCCTTTTGCTTCTAATAAAAAAAGTTATCATCAAAACTAAATATTTCCTCTATCCAGTGGCTCTTTTAATAGACCCTAAGCTATACCTATTTCCGTATTACGCGGGAATCCAGTAATTTATCATGAATATCTTTAGGAAATAAATCAAGATAAAAGCCCATATCGGACGAGATTGAGGCTATCTACATTTTAATAAAGTGTTACGAGTTGTTTGTTTGATATTGTAAGTCGTCCCAAGACAGTTAATCAGAGTTTACTTAAGAAGATTATCTTTAAGTCTATCCTGTCCTAAGAACATTAAATTATTATGGCTTGTGGAATTTATTTAGTTGTCATTTAATGGATATACTGGCTTGGTTCAGGCAGCGGTTTTTAATCATATAATGTACATTTGCGAGATTAGTTCTGTCTTTTAGTTTATTTTAAATCGTTGATTTATACTAGGAGATAGAATAGATTTTTTTTATAATGAGTGTGTTATTGCTAATAAAATATAGCTTACATAGACTGTGGGATAAGATACTTAATCATTCTAATTCCAGGTGGTTTTTCTGCTACAAATATTCTCATATTTTTTACAATTTTCTCTGATTTAAAAGTCTGTTTTGGACCACATGTTCTTAATTTATCGTTGTCAATGAATTATTATCAAAATTTTGTTTACCTTTTCTGGGTGCTAGGTGACATTGACTTTGATAACAATATACAAAATAGGAAGGAATTACAAGTTCAATTTAATTAAAATTTTTTATTTTAAGTGATTGTTTTAAAATTCATAGTAAACAGTAAACGTTGTAGATATTGTTCAGGGGAGAGTGCCTCACAAATTTGAAATTATTCTCGAGAGCGAACATCCAAGTATTTTCATCGCCTGGCAACCATCACCTGTGAAAACAACAGTCGAAATCTCTCAGCAAACTGTGCTTATGGATAGTTGTTGAGATTTTCCTGAACAGTGTAACAAGATCACCCCTACATCTGTAACATATATAAATTTGAGTGCTCAGAATTACCTTTGAGTTTGTGCTGTATTCTCGATTTTTTCACTGACTCCAGCATTCCACAGGAGCTAGCACAGAGCCAATAGAAATACAGGTACGGTGATGTGCGTCTTGGCATCATAGAACATTCTGTGACGTAGCCTCACCCCTGAGAATAAGAAACTCTTTTGAAAATTTTAGCGATGTTTAACCCATGCGCTCATATTAACCATTTATTTCATTTACACAGGGATATGGAAAAGTGTGTTTCCCTGCAAGCTGGTCCCCATCTAGATCAGGTGAGGACATCATATAAGCCTGTATATCGGTACTGAAACCAAACTATTTATTTTCTGAAAGTCTGTTATGTATGTGGGAGCACAGACACGCGATTAATCTGGAAACACCATATCGGGAGGTTTCTGTGCCATTTTAACGGTGTATCTATCGCTATTGAAATATTTTTGGAGTTATTTTAGTGTATTTGGTGACCAGACACATTGTCAACTGGTGTTGCTGGGAAGTTTTCATGGAGAAAATATATTTGAGAAAGATTTCATGTTGTACGGCAGCACAGAAGTGTGCGGCTCAAAGAGATATATTTATGACTTGAAAGTTCAATCGGGTGCCAGCCAAGAGTATCAGGGCGCTACGCCCCTGTTTGCCAGTTTAAAAAAAAAACTGCATATGCTGCTTCTGAATCTGTTGTACCAAATAATTTCAAAAAATATTTTTATGTTTGGAAAAAGTGATTTATTATGAATAAATAGAACAATATTATTGCTTTAAACAGTTTGACATTCCTGTTTTTCGGTATATGTTCAACTGCTGTTCACATAAAAGCCTTCTCCACATGTCTTTCATGGTTCTCACTTGATAATGATAATATTTATTATACATCTGTTATCGTGACGCCATAAGTTATAGCGTGCCATAATTTTGTGGTATTTTATGGGGTATTTTCATCCTACCATATAAAGAAATTCAAATATGGAATGATTACGCGCATAAGCGTCCTCTGATAATAAAAACAAACTTGGCTGCCATCAGGGTTTGACCGGACTCCACACAAAGAAGTTCGCTGATTCTGTTCTAAACTTTTTGGATTTCGGCATTCCCATGATGTATCCTTGGACGGAAAAGATGTATAATAATAAGGTTATTACGAAGATACCTCAAAGTATGCACTCAGACAGTACGCCTTCGCATCACCCTCCGCTGCGTGTCAGTCAATACTCCCGCTGTACTGTCTTCAAGGTATCTTCGTAATAACCTTATATTATATAGTGTTTGCTTCACTCTTGTTGTTAACATGAGTACATTATTTTGATTTGAAAAATATTATTCTTAAACTTTTATCTGAATTACTTCAATAAAATAATTGATAATGTAACCTCTTATAAATGGTATGTCAAAATTCTCACTGTGTGCTGTACAGCATGCACTAGCACATGCCTTGAATGTGAGATTTTCATAGTATTTTCGGCTTAGGCCAGACTTTTATTATCCTTTGTTTTGCGAACTTGCCAAATGAACAGGAGCCGAAAATGAAATAAAAATAGATTTTTATTTCAGCGTAATTTCTCGCGCCCGCCGACTTGTAAGCGCAAAAAAATGCTAAAAAAATTATTTTTATCTTCATTTTTTTCTTCATTTTTTCACCGCCCGTCGCATAACAAATTCAAGTTGCATTTTTGTGGAAGTATCATAATCAAAGTACCAAAGTCTCGCGCAGATGCCAAACAAGGTTATACATGGAATAACATTTTATTTCATTTCTTTTCTCTGATCAATAATCTCACTTACAATTCTTTGAGAATCACACAAATCTAATGGAAAAAAAGAATTAATTTTATTTTTTTTTCGCCCTCCTCAAAAAAATTTTCTTATAAAAACTCGAGAAACAAGGAATAAAAAAAGTCTGGCCTTACCTAAAATTAAATATTTTATTTTGTAGAGTATTACAACTGTCACCATTGATATGCCAGGGGATGTGGATAGTCAAAAGTTGGAAGAGCTACTGCAGGTGAGTTGTCTTCCTAGTGATATCATACAACCTTTTCACCACTAGTTCTTGCTTTTCATCACAAATTCACAAAATAGTCTCGTTTATAGTCTGCACTTTCCTTCAAGAGATTTGGACAAAAATTATCAAATTATTGAGTGAAAACTGAAAATTTACTCAAATGTCCTTTTGTTAGCTCCAAAATTGGGGTTCATTTCCAGAAATATTATAAAAAGGTACGGAAAAATTTGGGCGAGAAATGCTGGTGGTGAAATGGATAAACTGCCACCATAGACCATAAAGGTGGTATGGTATTTCTTGTTTATATTGGGAACTCGGGGTGGGATGTGAAATATTTGATCTGAATTGTATTGATAGTTCTCTGAGTTCCTGAAAACTGTTATTTGCTAATATTTTTGAATATTGTTCTGACATGTAGATTCACTAAGATTCACCTCCGTTCCAAATTATTGTCGTCTGCAGCAACTCTTGACGAATCTTTGAATTTTCCCATAATTCATGCACATTCATATCATCAAATATGTCATATACTAGTACCGGTAATCATCCCAATACGACACCAAAGAAAAGTAATACACAATCTGAAAACAGAGACTTATGTTTTTCCCATGCATGCATCCCTCTGTGCATGTTCATCTGTATCTCAGACATGTCTGTTCCAATCACTTTCCAACTTCACAAATACATGACATATCTAGGGCGATATATCCATGTGTATTTGTTTCATATCTGATCAAGATTCATTTTTGTGCTAAAAATTTATCAAAATCATTTCTGTCGTTCCGGAACCGGATCTAGGTCATGTATGGATGGATTTTGTTCAAACTTAGTACATGTATATATATATTGGAAATTATAGGTCCTTGAAGCATGTCATTTTATTTTAACAAATCCAGTCCTAAATCCATATCTCTGACATATCCTAACCATTCAAGCCTTAACTATAAACAAAACTATATTTCTTAAACCTGATAACTAACAGGGACTATGTCATGTAATTAATTTTTGCATTTTGAAATACTGATCATTGGATGTACATGTATGAATTGACAGAAAATTTTGGTTTTGAATTGTTGTAAAATCTATTATTGTACATCTGTCATTGTAACGTTGCAAGTTACAGCTTGCCGTAATTTTGTGGTATTTTACGAGGTATTTTCATCCTACCATATTAGGAAATGCAAATTCCAAATATGAAATGATTATGCACGTAAGCGTCCTCTAATAATAAAAACAAACATGGCCGCCACCAGGGTTTGACCGGACTCCACACAAAGAAGTTTGCTGAATCTGTTTTAAACGTTTTTGATTTCGACATTCCCATGGTGTATCCTTGGAAGGAAAAGATATATAATAATAAGGTTATTACGAGAATACCTCAAAGTATCCACTCTGACAGTATGCCACGCATTGACCTTTGCTGCCCGTCGGTCGATACTCCCGCTGTACTGTCTTCGTGCATACTTTGAGGTATTCTCGTAATAACCTTATAGTACCGTATGTATTCAATGTTTGTTTTTGTAGAATTTATTATGGGAAAAGAATGTTGTGAATTCTAAGGGTGAACCAATGCAAATATTAAGACTCAAGGTGAGTTAGACAATATAATTATTAATGTTGAGTCATCTCTTGTCTTAACTGCCATAAAAAAGATAAAATTACCACCAGAAGTTTACCTCTTCAGTATATGGTTGGACATGATGTTGTTATAGTTGTGGTTGGGATACATATGGCCAGTCACAGTCTGTCGTCAACTACAGGTTTGTCTAGAGATGTAGTTTTGTTTTGTTTTGTCAATTCACTACAATTTTACAATGCTGTGACTGATTTTGTTTGTTTGATTTTGTTTGTTTGTACAAGATGTTCGGTTTATGCTTACGTGTACTTGCAAGTCCACCATGTTGTCAGTCTATAATCGTCAGTTGCCATTATTCCCCGAGACAGTAGTTGTGTTCTTGTTAGAGATTTCTATGTCAGCATGTGTCAAAATGTGTGTGTACTGATGATCAGAACTGAGTCAACAGTGTGTGTTACCGATTGCTACATGTGGAAATCGTGCCCTCAGTGAAATTTAAAAAAACAAGTAATACTTCCATGGCATCACAGAGATGGAAGACACGAGTTTATCTAGCTCTTCTAGAAATACTGTGAAATACTTTATTTTAGCTGCAATTAATTTTCACTGAAAACACGTTTTGTATGGAATTTATTTGCTCTGATTTTTGACAAGTTGAGTGTAAAACATAGGAAAAAAGGTATATTCACTGGATTTTATTCTCACTGAATCATTCCTTCAGCGAAAATAGCGAAAATTAATTTCAAGCGAAAATAAAGTATTCTACAGTGTATGCTCTGATGCAATATAATTGGCACTTCTTAATATCTGGAAAAAGGATGACATTCTGTATTAAGTAGATAGTTTAAAACAAGAAACAAGAAACATGTTTATCAATGAGTTATGGACAACCTGGAATTCTGATTTTGTTTTCATGTAATGATTAATAACAAGGATTTAAAATATATCTCATAAGTCTTTGTTAATAATAAATGCTATGATATTAAGTAGCCTCAGACACTGAATAAGGATATTCTCTGCCACATTTAGATTTACGAATCAACAAATGGTGCTTGATTTCGGCACCAGTCACGGGCGGGTTCCTGTGTACATGAACTCAAACCTTGGTAATCCCTCCAGGAACACAAAGGATTAAATGATAATCTTGCATTATTGGGTAATGTCAACGGAAGGTATATGAGATTAAGAGTACGTGACTATGGTGCCTGAACAACTCTGCATAATTCCAGGTTTTTAACGGCCCTGGAATATACTGGAAAATCCTAGAATTTGAAAGGCGTTAAAGAAAGTCCCGGAAAAATGATTTTGAGTACCGGTACTGGAGATTGAGTCATGCAAAATGAAAAAACATTACTGCCACAAAGTAGTTTCCCGAAATCACTATCAAAATTTTTACGATCAGCGTAAAAAGATGGAAGCACTTTATTGAATTCACTGATAAAATTGTATGGTAAATTAGTCTTGGAAAACTAATTTTACAAAAAATTTATTTCAATTTAGGTGTACAAAACCTAAAGTACTAATTAATTCTCTTCACCTCCCTCTTGTACTTTGTATGTAAAGTTTTATAGCTTTTACATGCGTTCTCCATTGCACTAATATATTTGTGGTGTGTTACCTGTAATCTCGTTCATGTCTGTCACTGCTATATCAGTAGTGAGCCCTCTAGTGACAGGATTAAAAAAGCCATTGCAGCATCTGAAACATGTAGTATAGCGCCCTCTGTAGGTATCTGCTTCAACCGACTTGTGTCTTTGTCTGGTACAGAAAGATAAATACCAAATGACACTTAATTGCAATTGTGCTTCTGTTATTGTGAGTTTAGTAAATATATCTTAAACATTGCATTATTTTAAGTAACAGTCATGACAATCAAATCACATACGTGTTGTATTGTGAACATGAATGGTATTTTGATGGGCAGTAAAGAAAAACAATGCACGTATGCCAATACACAGTGATATCTTTTTTAGAAATCTACTTCATTTAAATCACCGTTGATGATGATTTGTTTATATTTTATTTTGTAGCTAAAGTAATGATCTAATTTTTATTTTTAAATAAACTTGTTTTTGATGACTCAATTGTTATACTTGTGTGTCTATACATGTATTAGCAATATACATTTGTGGCTGCATTTAGTTTGGTATATATCTTATTTTTGCAAAACAAAAACGCACATATTTTTTTTTTTTGAAAATTTTAATCAAGATCTGTAACCAATTGGGAGTTATGTATATTTGGTTCAAAATTATTGGTAATTAGAAAAATACATTAAAAACAGGCAAAATTTTGTACTAAAATGTTAATTGGAAAAATTAGTGCGTCAAATGTACAGTGGTATTCACTATCACATTGTTATATATCCTCTCTCCTGTTGGACTATAGGGGGCACAAACCTATCAAAACCTGGATTGCTTACATATGATAAGAAGGAAGCTGTTGAACTTTTTTTTTTATCAGTGGAATAAATATTAAACTGTCTCATAATGTGCTAAATCGTTAAATTAAGCAAGACTACGTGTTTGTAGAAAACCTGCCTTTGTACAGACAGTTGTTGAGACTTGTATAATTATGTTGTTTTTTGTCTCACTGATTTTCCAGGGTTTTAGTACATAAACATAAAGCCGCTTACTCATCTACTATGTGAGTGTTTACCATTAGATTGCAGTCTGGTATCACTTAGTTACTGAGAGTAATGAGATGTTTATTAGTTTCAAAGCAGGCACTGACCAATGCCATTCATTGTCCTCCTTGCCTCCAGCTATTTTGCAGTTCCCGGTGTGAAAGTTTATCTTTAGTGTCTTTAGCAGCCGGAACTGTTCGGCACTCCAAGCTTGGGTCTATTCGGCACTCCAAGCTTGGGTCTATTCGGCACTCCAAGCTTGGGTCTATTCGGCACTCCAAGCTTGGGTCTATTCGGCACTCCAAGCTTGGGTCTATTTGGCACTCCAAGCTTGGGTCTATTCGGCACTCCAAGCTTGGGTCTATTCAGCACTCCAAGCTTGGGTCTATTTGGCACTCCAAGCTTGTGTCTATTCGGCACTCCAAGCTTGGGTCTATTCAGCACTCCAAGCTTGGGTCTATTTGGCACTCCAAGCTTGTGTCTATTCGGCACTCCAAGCTTGGGTCTATTCGGCACTTCAAGCTTGGGTCTATTTGGCACTCCAAGCTTGTGTCTATTCGGCACTTCAAGCTTGGGTCTATTCGGCACTCCAAGCTTGGGTCTATTCGGCACTCCAAGCTTGGGTCTATTCGGCACTCCAAGCTTGGGTCTATTCGGCACTCCAAGCTTGGGTCTATTCGGCACTCCAAGCTTGGGTCTATTCGGCACTTCAAGCTTGGGTCTATTCGGCACTCCAAGCTTGGGTCTATTCGGCACTCCAAGCTTGGGTCTATTCGGCACTTCAAGCTTGGGTCTATTTGGCACTCCAAGCTTGGGTCTATTCGGCACTCCAAGCTTGGGTCTATTCGGCACTTCAAGCTTGGGTCTATTCGGCACTCCAAGCTTGGGTCTATTCGGCACTTCAAGCTTGGGTCTATTCGGCACTTCAAGCTTGGGTCTATTCGGCACTCCAAAAAGAAAAAGAGGCTGATGGCTCAAATTCCAGCTCTTTTTTGTGTCCTTCGATCTCAGCCGTATGCTGATTTTGCTACTGACTCAAGTACAATCAAGTTTAACAATTTTGTGTGGTGGTTTTTTTGTTTGAATGAGCAGTGAACAAAATTACCCGTACTATGAATTAATAAATGTTATGAGGCACTCTTGGTGAATATATTAAAAATTAATAAATAATATGAATAAATTAAAATATTGTTATCTTTTTTAGATTTCAATAAGATTTCTAAATTATGTTTGTAATCTTTTGAAAAAATTGAATTCCAGCAGTTGAGTATCTTTTGCAGTGAAGAAATAGTTTCTGCTCATTCGCAACTTGTTGTTTTTCTATTAAAAACTGTTTTTATTTATATATTGTTCTGACTCAGTCTGTAATATCTGTGCGCTTATTCTTAGTTTTGTCGTGGCTAATCTATAAGTTTCAAATATGCATGACTGCCTATATGAGTATAATTTATTTCTGTGGGTATTTCAAATTCTTTGACATACTAGGTGTTATTGTGTTTCTTAAATATATCTTTTAGCTTTTTAAATATCTATTTATTTTCATTTTAAAAGTTCTTCTGAGAATTGTTTCAAATTCAGTAGGGTTTGCAAGAGTAATCATTTTTTTTTTTCTGTACTATGCTGGTATGGAATGGAAATTGTCCAGTTTTAAAATTTCTGTTAAATTTCCAGTCTATACCTGTCCATTCATATTTCATTCTCCTTCCAATCCTCCAATGTTTTTCAAAAATGTTTACAACTTTACCAATTCAATTTCTTTTTGTTTTGTGATTTGTTTTATGTATAGCAATTTTTGACATTTGAAAAACGTTTCTTTTGATGATTTTCAAAGTGTTGTTTCTAGCCATAGTTACCAACTCAGCAGTGGACCATTTTTCAGACTCTCTGCCTCAAAAGTACCATCCTACTCAGTGGGGGCAGTCATATATCACCTTCTAGTGAATGCAAACCACTCCCCTGTGTCCCCCCATGTACACCCTCACCCCTGTACACCCTCACCCCTGTTTACCCCCATCATTTTGATTAATGCCGTGGATACAAACAGCTATCGCACACGTTGTATTAACTTTTTTTCCACCATAGTGAATTTTTGTCACTCTCCAAAAATTGAAGCTCTTTTCATAATTTTTTTTCATATTTTTTTTCAAAATCCCAATCAATAATTGTAATAATAGTTGTAGCCAATGAGAAAACTAAATCGCTTAGGTATAAAATTAACAAAGAAATTGTATTTCATGAGACGGCCAAACTAATCCTTGATGATAGTGACTAATCAGTGTCAGTAGTCATTACTGTGTTTGATTTGATTTAGCACTTGCTTTGACGTAAATGACAGAGGTGTGGAGGGTAAAAATAAGTCATATGTTAATGATTCAGGATATGGTAAATGCCATCATTGGTTTACACGCATTTTTACAGTATTTTGTCTTGATAGTTTGATTTGATTTATGATTATATTATAATTAAGTATATGTAACACATGTTTCTGTTCTTTGGTAATGTTTGCTTAACTAATTAATCATTTGTAGCTGGTAATGACCATTATTAGTTCTGTTATGTGCTCTTTAACCAGTCATGACATTTCATTCATTTAACCAATTTGGTGAATTTCAAATGAAGATATACCATGTTTATTTTCTAAATACTGTAAATTTGTTAATTTTCACTATTCCGATATTTTTTCAGTTTATATGTTTACACAAATTTAATTTAGTGGGTTTTACTTATCAGTAAACATAGCAAATTTATTACCAACCACCACCCAACAAAAAAAACAGAAATGTAAAAAAAAAAAAACATTTTTTTTGACTGGCTCTTCTTAACCAGTTTCTTTGCATGTAAAGAACTTAAATATCTGTGTCCTCAGATCTCAGCTGAGGTTATATATATATATATATATATATATATATATATATATAGGAAGGTAGTCAATTATTCCAGGTGAGAGTGCTCGATACTAAACTATGAGTTTGTAGAGCAGATTTACATACGTGGACAGAGAAATTAAGACACGACTACATGAGTAGAGTCAACTGTACTCATATAGTCGTGTCTTAATTTTTCTGTCTACGTATGTACATGTATATGTATATGTATATATATATATATATATATATATATATATATATATGATCTTGCAAGTTTGTGTCCTCGGGTATTTGTGCCCGCTTGTAAGGAGAACAATTGTTCTTCTGACATCTGACACTATTGTATCTCACGAACCTAGACAGAAATATACATAATGTCATAGTTGCCATTGACGTTGATCGTAGATTAATCGATGATCACCACTAATGAAGTGGTTGATGCTTCAGGCCCGCAGACTTGACCTGACATTTGTTGATTAGAAATTCATCAGCAACCCCCCCAGTATAGGTGTGCTTTTATGTTAATGGAGAGGTCAGAGCCACTGGCAAACAGTTACACACTTACTCATTCACTTGGCAGTGTTCACAAAATTTCTCACATTTTCACTTTTCTCATAACAACAAAAAAACATCAGAATAGACAACAGTGACTTCCATGTCTGGAAATAAATTGTTTCTCCAGTACAGTATAGTATTTTACATGGAAATAGCCATTGTGTGTTCGATTGCACGACTTAAAAGAATTCAACATGTTCATTTAAGTTTTTTTTTTAAATGTTTGAAAGCACTGTCCATATGGAATAAATAAATCAATCAATGACATTTAAATAAAATTACACACAATAAAATTAAATGTTTTAGAAGAAGAATCGATATTATATTTCCGATGGAAGTTTAAATCATTTATTTGTGTATCTGGTTGATTTTGTTCCCTTTGGCATTCAGTCATACAAATAAACATTATTTCATTTAAAAAAAAATAAGGTGCTAATTTTTTTATGTACCGCATAAAGTTTAACAATTGTAAAAACATAAAATTTGTGTCTAAGAATGTTGTTTTAAATCTTCTTTTAGTTAATTTGTGCATGTTGTTTTTTAGTTGTTTTTTTTTTTGAATATTGTTCATTTACTTTTTTTCAACATTTTTGTTCTGGATATTTATAAAGGTTCTCCCTAAGTTGAATCCATCAGTAAATGAATCTATATTTCAGAAATGTACTGTATTAAATAAAGCAAAAAAAAATATAAAGTTGTTTTTTTCGAGATTGTCAATATTGAAAATCACATTTTATGAAGACAAATTACTGTTTAGTATTGTTGCTAAGCAACCAGCCAAGGTGATATGTAATGATACCATTGATCGTTCCTCTCCCTGCCAGGCATTTTTTCTCAATAACCTTTATAAGTTTTGCTCTTGTGTATGCAAATTATGGAATCTTTAATTATTGATGTAAACTGTTTCATTTGTTATTGCGGCGTTTTTCTCAGGTGTCAAAATAACCTGAGTCACATAAGCCAATGTCTAAATAAAAATTTATTATGTCAGCTAGGTGGCCAACTTCAGACTTTTAACGTCACTGATGTCTCGTCCGATTTAGTGTGTGAATAAAATGTTTGTATAAGTGTAAACTGCGTGGATTTTATTGCCAATGAAATCATATTTTATATTTGGAACCTTATTTCTATATCCAATTTGTCATTATGGCAGATCACGGCTATTCAACCTCTAATAAATAGGAGTGAATATTTTATCCCAATTTTTTGTTTCAAAAATGTAGTTATTGATTTTATACAAATGTCATCAATGTTTTAAATTTTTCACAAGTACAAATTACTTTTGGAATAATTCTTGTCGAAATATTATTTCACGAAAAATAAATTATATTTATTAGGATTTCCCTTAAAATTCGTGTCACCCATGAATATCCATCTTATGGGACCAAGCAAAATTTTGAGATAGGGTGAAAACCTGTTACCATAGAAACCAGTTTTAACTTGCACAAAAATCATCATTTTCATGATGGTTTGATCCTTGTCTTGTGAAAATAGAAGTTCGGTGACCGTATATTTTTATCCGGGTTTTGTGAGCAGCACCATTAAACGAAACCATATTGCAGAATTTAAGGAATTCGTTTGTTTTAATGCTTTGAGCTTACTTTATTGTGCTGGGATCAGGTGTCTACGAGAGACAAACACGTAGCGTATACGTCACGTGTTAATGAATTATACTCAGTCAGTTATCACCTTGTTTGACTCTATGGCAACCTCCGTATCTAGGGTGTGTGTTTGACTCCTATTAGTTAATACCAGTGTGACTTGATGAACTTCTGAGCATGTCCCCGTATCATTACCTATGCTGGCAGTATTCGGTGTTCTTTTGCTTATGTAAATATAATCTAAAATACTGGTAGCTCAACTTGTAATACACACCTAGGGGTTGTAGTGAAAACGATCCATACGTTGACGTGAATGCATCAATAATGGACAACACCATACCCGGTGAATTCGAGAACGCGTGGAAATATTCTTTAATTAATTTGTATAAATTTATAAACTCTTTGCAGACTAAGTAACAACAAGTATTAATCATATACGAAATTGAACATTAATAAATATTATAATTATATTTTTTTCAGATAAATTGCTAGGCCAGTATTGAATCTATCACATAGGTCAAAAGTCATAGTGTATTGCTGATTCTGTTTATAAATTATATTTACTGACATTAAGGTAGAGATGCAGGTTCGTGGGCACTTTGGAGTGAATTTTTTTTTTTTTCTTTTTATTATCTAAACAGTCTTGGCTATAGACTGTTAAAATGTTGTAGAATTGTGAATAGTGGAACATACTCAAAAAACGATTTTTAATCAAGATAACAGTTGCAAACATTATCTCTTTTGAGTGCTTAGCAAGATTTAGCAAGGCTATACATAAATAATAAAAAAGAAACATGGTCATAAAAAGAAATGACGGGTTCTCCATATTATGCACTATATTTAACGTTTAACAAAACGATAATACATTTAAATTTGTAACTGTTACAGCCATTTTAATTATGAGCATTAGCAAACTTCTCACTGAGTGAATTGTTATGCAAATTAGCAATTATCTCAGCTTCTTTTTAGTGCACATCCCAGAACTTTAAAAAAAAATAGCTCCTAGACGCTTTGACCTTTTGTTTTGAAATTTTCACAAATGATTGACAATGTGTTTATCTTCAAAACGCCGTCGGGGCATTGTTTTTGGTTGAGCAGTGTTACAACAATCGTACAGACAACTAGCCTGGGTGTTAATTTATGCATAAACTTGAAGTAGTGAAATTTGGGCTGCTGCCCTTGAAAATTGACAACTGGTAGACAGTTTTCAAGACGGCACTTTTTTCATAGTAAACAGATGTACTCATAAACCAATTTTGACAGGAAACAGAAACATGGTTTAGGAGCTATTTTTTTTTAAATCACTTTTGACCAAAAAAGCACATTTTTGTGCATATTTCAAACTACAGTGTCCATAAAAAAAAAATACTAACAAAATTTTAAAATTTGTACAATAAGCTTTCCGAAAACATAGTTTTGTGGACAAGGGAGGTCATCTTGGTTTCCTAATTAACTAATTAAAATACCTGTCAGGTAAACTGCATCTCTACCTTAAAACGAAAAAAAAAAAACTGACTTAACTTAATTATGTAAATTGGGTTTTTCTAGTCTGGTTTATTATCTTACACATCATAATGATTTTGAGGTAAAAAGATCACATATACAAGTTATTTTGTCTTCTAAAGAGTAAGAGGACTACTGCCATTTTGCTCAGGCACCTGTTGTTACCCAGGATGCAATGCTTCAAATATTTAGCCTGTTCGTTTTGATCGCTATGGTGATACATTCTGAAGTTCATTTTAACCCAATTAGCTGAAAATCATATATGTAATTAAAATTTTAATTGATAATATTAATGACTTTAATTCAATGTTCTAGGTCATAAGATCACTATTCAAAACAAAAACTAAAAAATATTATATTTCTGTGTAGCATAGCTCATATATTATAAATCAGTAGGTAGAAATATGAGATCAGCTGTTACTAATTCAACACAAACAATTATTTTATCCACTGCAGCAGTACATCAAACAATGTATTATGCTTCGTAATTTATATCTTTTTCTGCTTTTTTCTTTGTTATGGAATTTGATTAATTATGATGCATACTTATTAACTTGTCATCCCAGACAAATATGTTTTATTATTTCTGTAAATGGCAATCAGGTGACTGTTTATTTTCATTAATAATCATCCGTGTTTAGCTCATAGAACTTGTTCTTTGTTCTCTTCTTCTCCTGCTTGTATAATTTGGATAAATTTTTGCGTTACAGTAAATATTGGGTTTGATGTATTTTGTGGTAGGTGTGAACATGTTTTGTGTGTATGTCTGAACCTGGATCAGTGTAATGGTAATTGTTTTGTATCATGACTGTCCTCCTATCATATATGTTATTCTGTCAGCTCTGGGCTGACCCCAATGTTGCATTGATGGTACTGAGCCTCGGCTTTTTCTCTGCCTTCATTGGTTTATGGCACCCTCGTCCAGGGTATCTCTTGGTCATAGTATGTGGCAATCTCATCCTTGCGCATAGTTTGTAGTACGTTACTCCGACCTTGGAGCTGGGTCATACTCTGTAGCGCCCTCACTCAGGGGATGGTCCATAGTTTGTGGCATCCTCACTGTGAGGCAGGTTCATGTTCTGTGAAACACTCACCCAGGAACTGGGCCATAGCGTGGAGCACTTTCACCCAGTGACTGGACCATAGCCTGGGTTGGGCACAATCACCCAGTGGATGGGTCATATTTTGTGGTACGCCTTTCACTGGGCCATAGTCTGTGACACGTACACTCACTTATGAGACTGGGTCATATTCTGTGGTGCCCTCACCTAGGGGATTGGCCATACTCTGTGGCACCATTTCACATAAGACCTGGATCATACTCGGTGAACTCCTAATCTTCATATTTGCATAACTTGCATATTTCTGTACAATATTTAGCAGTATTTAATACATTAAATAAATGTTAAACATATAATTATATTGATGTGGCTTGACGGCAAATCTAAAAGAGGCAGTTCCACAAAAGGGGTCATCAAAAGGGGACAAGCTTACCATAGTCACAATAGACAATTTTTCATTACGTTAAAAATACACACTCTGTCAGTGTAACAGGTATATCATTGTCACACCCTGCATTGTGTTATCTATCCCGATATTGCTGCTACGTAGCCTCACAGATGCTGTAGGCATCTCATCTAGAAAAACATTGAATATATCGATGTATTTTTTTTTTTACACATCTGCAACCTTCTGTATCTTAGCAAACTGCCCTCACAGTAACCATTGTGCTTGTACTATTATTGTTAAGTATAATCTATCAGTATAGAAACAACTTTACGCGTCATGTTGTCCTCTTTTACCTACATGAATTGTTAGCATCACCAAATGTTTTTTTTACCATTTTTTTAATCACATTCAAAATTTTCTGCAAGATGAGGTGTATTTTAACATTTTGCTTGACAGTGATTTTACCCGCAGAGTAAGCATTTTTATTTCGATGACAACAGTCAGAACCCCCGAACTTTTTTCTATTTTTTTTTTTTTTAATATTACCATTTACTAATGTTTCACCATTAGTAAATTACATAGATGCAGCATCATGTTGATTGGTGTTGCATTACATCAACTACTACTAGTTCATCAGCATAAGTCTTCATTATAGGATAGCACATTACAATTGCAATTGACGGAGAGATGGCCACACATCGCTGTCATGTAGTCCCAAACATGAATATGACTTCTGTGGCAAAAATGCACTATACTTGCAATTTGCACACACAAAAAGAAAAGAAAAAAAGTCTTCATTGTACTAGAGTAATCCCCAATCTTGGTCCTAATTTAGCCATGTATAGTCACTATTATTTCTGTTATATTAAAAAAGATTATTTGGAGGAGCTGGAAGTTTTTAGATGACTTGTTGACTGTTTGAGCAGTTTGTGGATAGATATACCTGGACTAATTATTCGGGGGGGGGGGGCCTAAAGTGCTTAAATAATAACAGTAGGCTACTGGCTGTCATAGGACATGATATAATGTTTGAGGCTCAAAAAGCAGGTCTAAATCTGTGTTTAATCTGAAATAATCAGGAGTTTCAAAACTTGTCATACAGCATGCCCACCCTCCCATGTCTGAAAAACACTAAGTCACCCTCACTGGACTGTGTAAATGTAGGGGCTCGAAGACCATGTCTAAAAAAAAAACTACTCCATGTCACCTGCATTAGACTGTTGTTGTAGAGGCTCAATGATCTAGTCTGAAATACCTACTGCAAATCACACCCACTGGACTGTTGATGTAGATAGAAGCTTGAAGATCAGCTTTGAATGAAAATATTGAAAATTGCAGTAGGTAATCATAATCCTACTCTATGTCATATTATCAGTGGAATTTGCACCAAGTTCCAGGAATTACAGGTTACCGGTACCACACTTGGAGAGTAATGATGGAGAAATTGCGACATCAACATTGCAGTACTACATGAGCAGCTGTTCCCAGAAGTGACATTGACCGCATTGCTTGAAATGACGAAAACAATTCATTAAATGGATTTAATCCATGAATATTCCAAGCCCAGGTATCCTTTAGAAAGAAAAGATAAACAGTTTTCAACAAGTTCTTGTCTGGAAATACAATCATCATCATTAGACTGTGACTATGTGAAAATAGTATTTATTAAATTGCATTCCTTGCACTGACTGTCTCACTACTATTCTTATTTTCTATTTATGTAAGTCACCATAACGCCCAGTTAATATCTTGTAAACTGTGATTTACAGCACAGGAGCTAGACTCGATTAGTCCCCTATTCCATTTGTATATTTTTGTTTGTACTTTTTTTGTTTGTTTGGAATAAACTTCTATAAGTACATGTGGATATCCATCTACGAATACTTGGCTTGGACTGTATTGAAGTTGGCTCCTAAACTGGATGCATCAGAGGGAATACCTTGCTAAATGATTGGTTATACCAGTAGCTTTGATTCTAAAAACTAGACTACAATGCAGCCATTGTCAATGGATTAATGATGAGTATTCCTCGGACCAGATCCTGTTCTACATTACTGGGATGTGACAAAAGATATTCCTAGACAAGGTCCTGTTTGGTATGTCATCATTTCTTGTCTGTGAAAAAAAGACCTTTCCAGACAAAGTCAGGAAATATGTGCCGCTATGTGACAATGTGTTATGTTGATATCACTCCGATACCAGTAACCACAACAAAGCTATACAAAATATATGAACATAAATATTATTATGGTGGACGTCTCTCTTACAACATCTGGTGTTCTTTTCTTAAGTATGTTTTACCTTCAAAGAGCCACACCTGCCGATAAAAACAATTTCCTTGAGGAGAATTGTTTTAAAAGCATTTGTTTTTTGTCCTGAAGCCATTTATAGGTTTTAATTTGTCACCCAATGCAATTAGTTATTAGCCCAATGGGTGACATTCGTTTTTTCAGCTCAGAATAATACTGTTTCTTGTTTTGTCAGGCATTTTTTTTTCTTACACAGTGTTCAATAGCTGTTGTTGCTAAAGAAATGACATATAATTAGTGTGGACATGTGACTGAGATTAGATCACTAGAAATATGACATGTGACTGAGATTAGATCACTAGAAATATGACGTGACTGGGATTAGATCACTAGAAATATGACATGTGACTGAGATTAGATCACTAGCAATATGACATGTGACTGAGATTAGATCACTAGAAATATGACATGTGACTGAGATTAGATCACTAGAAATATGACATGTGACTGAGATTAGATCACTAGAAATATGACATGTGACTGAGATTAGATCACTAGAAATATGACATGTGACTGACATTAGATCACTAGAAATATGACATGTGACTGACATTAGATCACTAGAAATATGACTGAGATTAGATCACTAGAAATATGACATGACTGGGATTAGATCACTAGAAATATGACATGTGACTGCGATTAGATCACTAGAAATATGACATGTGACTGAAATTACATCACTAGAAATATGACATGTGACTGGGATTAGATCACTAGAAGTATGACATGTGACTGAGATTAGATCACTATAAATATGACATGTGACTGAGATTAGATCACTAGAAATATGACATGTGACTGAGATTAGATCACTAGAAATATGACGTGACTGGGATTAGATCTACAGAAATATGACATGTGACTGAGATTAGATCACTAGAAATACGACATGTGACTGAGATTAGATCACTAGCAATATGACATATGACATGTGACTGAAATTAGATCACTAAAAATATGACAATAGACATGTGACTGAAAATAGATCACTAGCAATATGACATGTGACTGAGATTAGATCACTAGAAATATGACATGTGACTCAGATTAGATCACTAGAAATATGACATGTGACTGAGATTAGATCACTAGAACTATGACATGTGACTGAGATTAGATCACTAGAAATATGACATGTGACTGATATTAGATCACTAGAAATATGACATGTGACTGAGATTAGATAACTAGAAATATGACATGTGACTGAGATTAGATCACTAGAAATATGACGTGTGACTGAGATTAGATCACTAGAAATATGACAAT